CGATGCCACAGCAAACCTGCAGACTAAGCGAATTACCATTTGTCTGGTTGGATTTTCAATTAAATCTATTTAAATAACATTAGGTATAACAAGTGCCTAGGTTTGCTGCTACAGGGTATGAAATAAATAAGTTTACAAGTTTTATTAATAGATATCAGTAAACAAGCAAACTTAAACAGTTTTCTTATTCTTCATAAGAATAACAAGGGAATTTTAAATTTAATATTACACCTAATTTGAATTTTTCTCAACATTTCTATATTTCCAAAAATTTTGTGAAATATGGTCAAAAAGGTGGAAATCGGCAGCCATTTTCCAAGATATTGGCCGTAGCACAGCATGCACGAATGTTGTTTTTTAATATGTTATTACTGGGTAGTAGTTCTACACATATGCAATGTTTCCGGTTTAGAGTATTACTAGCTGTACCCACGGGCTTTGCCCCATTTAACTTCACAAGTATTCGCATGGCTCAATCACGTCCTGGTTGAAGTTCATTCGCTACGCTCACTCACCTTTAGGTTGGAGCTCGTTCGCTGCGCTCACTTGTTTCAGGTTAACTCGTTCGCTACGCTAACTCGCCTTAGGTTGATGTTCGTTCGCTACGCTCACTCACCTTTTGGTTGCAAATTGGATGTTGTCATAAATTTAAAAATTTAATAATAGTGCTGCACCCTGTTGGTAATCCTTGTAACTTTAATGCTATTGAACATCATAGAACAGAACCACTGGGGCGGAGCCCGAAAGCCCGATCAGAATAAAAACTACTTAGTTTTCCTATTTCCCAAAGAATCGGTGTACCGAATTTCAGCCTCCTAGGTAAATGAAAGTGGGAGAATTAGTGATGAGTGAGTGAGTCAGTCAGTGAGTGAGTCAGTGAGGGCTTTGCCTTTTATATTGTGTGGAAAGATAAAAATATTAAGGCCATACAATACCTATCTACTATGAACGGTTCAGGCAATATTGAGGGGTAAATGTGATTTTTTTCTTAAAGTTCTAAAAAAGTTGTTTTTTATAATGGAGGACACCCATAAAAAGAGTTTGTAATGGATGCCAAATCGTTGAGTAAACCTCCCTTAACATGTTTAAAAAAGTTACACTGATTTGCGTGCCGTTTTTGAGTAGGATGGGGTGAAAACGGGGTGGGGAATTTTATTCATAAGAAATTTTGTTAAATTTTGTTAAGTGACACTTTTTTCCCTTTATAACACAAATATAATGTCAATTTCACTAAATATGACTTACCTATCTGAAAAGACAAACCTACCTAGATACGTGAACACAGTGAATTTTCTACCGTTTGAATTCTTCTTAAGTGTGTTTTATCATTAATTAATTATTAAGTAAATATCCTTGTTACAATAGTTATTTGTGTAACTAGTGGGCGAAGTGGTACATTGCTGCACACGAGAGAAATGCTTACACATGAGCCGTAGGCGAGCGTGGAAGGTTTCTCGAGTGCAGCAAAGGCACTTTGCACTCGTGTTACACACGTTATATTTTTCCTACAGTTACTATAAATCATATCAATGATTAGCCTTTCAAACACTATACGACACCTGTTTAGGTAAGGTTGAATCCAATCGTTGAACGAAATGGGAAACACTGCAACAGTTGATTGTAATTGTAATATTTTTCAGTGTTGCAAACCTATTTCTAAGCAAACACGGATTACGCGCATAATGAAAGCACGCTGTTTGTGTTGTTTGGTTGGAATACTGGTGTGCGACAAAGTAAAAACCGTATGACAACGTACAAACTGTGTGACATGCATCAATTAGCCGCTTGTATAACCAAACAAAAATGGTGGATATATGGTTAACAAAGCGACTTTGGAAAAAATGTTACACTTGATTTTCTCTTTATTTTGAATCAGAGAACCATTTCCTGGAGCTGTCTACTTAAGGGACACTCTGTATATATTAGATTTTCTATTTAAAAAAGGAGTACGTATAAGTAAGTTTGAATGAATCAACAATATCTAGTGAAAAAAATTATATTTTCCTACAGTCACCCGACAAAGTAGGCTTCCTTGCACAGATCTACAGAAAGCTGCTAATTGTTGCATATACTTACTTTTAAGACCCTCAGTTTCCAACCAAACAACACAAAACAGCGTGCTTTCATCATGCACGTAATCCGTGTTTGCTTAGAAATAGGTTTGCAACACTTAAAAATATTACAATTACAATCAGCTGTTGCATTGTTTCCCATTTTGTTCAACGATTAGATTTAACCCACGAATACTAGAAAAATACCGGTATGGATCATAAACATAAACAATTGACGTTTTTGGCCCGAAAGTAAACAAAACCCCTATTCTAATAGCATTTAATCGTTATATGGTTTTGTTTACTTTCGGGCCAAAATCCTCATTTGTTTATGTTTATGATCCATACCGGGTCTTTTCTAGTATTCGTGTTTTAACCTTACCTAAACAGGTTTTGTATAGTGTTTGAAAGACTAATTTATTTATATGATTTTTAGTAACTGTAGGATAAATATAACGTGTAACACGAGTGCAAAGTGCCACTTCGCCCACTAGTTACACAAATAACTATTGTAACACGGATATTTATGTGATATTATAACTGACAAAACTCACTTAAGAATTCAAACGGTAGAAAGTACACTGCGTGTTCACGTATCTAGGTAGGTTTGTCTTTTCAGATAGATAAGTCATATTTAGTTAAATTGACGTTATATTTGTGTTAAAAAGGAAAAAAAGTGTTGCATAAAAAATATTTACAAAATTACTTATGAATCAAATTCCCCACCATGTTTTCACCACCTCCTACTCAAAAACGGCACGCAAATCAGTGTAACTTTTTTATATAATTACAAACTCTTTTTATGGGTGTCCATGGGTTTCCTCCTTTTAAAAAACAACTTTTTTAGAATTTTAAGAAAAAAACACATTTACCCCTCAATATTGCCTGAACCGGTGACAGTAGATAGATATTGTATGGTATCATCTTGTTCGAAATTTAATGTTAATTATTTTTGTAATTCATAATATATCAATACAAATGCACCGTTTTCAAGATGTTTGTAAAATAGTAAAATAAGTCCCATTCCCCTCCATTTTTCTTTAAACCCTCCTTCTGCAATCCGACACTCAAATCAGTGTAACTTTTTTACACATATTAAGGGAGGTCTATTAAACAATTTAGCACTCATTAGAAACTTTTTTATGAGTGTCCATGGGTTTCCTCCATTTTAAAAACAACTTTTTTAGAATTTAAGAAAAAAATCACATTTACCCTTCAATATCGCGTGAACCGTTCATAGTAGACTAGCTGTAACCCGCGGGCTTTGCCCCGTTTAACTTCTTAATTTTCAAGATGATCTCGTTCGCATGGCTCAATCTCGTCCTGGTTAAAGTTTGTTCGCTACGCTCACTCACATTTAGGTTAGAGCTCGTTCGCTATGCTCACTACCTTTAGGTTGGAGCTCGTTCGCTGCGCTCACTTGCCTTCAGGTTAGCTCATTCGCTATGCTCACTCACCCTTGGGTTGAAGTTCGTTCGCTACGCTCACTCACCTTTTGGTTGCAAATTAGCTGTTGTCATAAATGTAAAAGAAATAATAGTTCTGCACCCTGTTGGTAATCCTTGTAACTTTAATGCTATTGAACATCATAGAACAGAACCAACTTGTTTAATTGAAACAGCTGTTAAGATTCATTAATTCCATTCCATTTCTCATAAGGTTAACATGGGAAACCCCAGAGCCACTGGGGCAGAGCCGATTGGACGGATCAAGAAATTGATGGTGTATAAACCTATTCCATGAAATTCTACACGTATGTACCAAGTTTCGTGGCAATCGGTTCAGCAGTGTCTGAGTTTATCACTGCCAAATATATATACAAACATCCTCTTTTATACTTATAGATAGGTATTTTATGGTATCATTTTGTTCAAAATTATTTTCACCCCATTTTCACCCCCTCCCCCCCTAACCCGACACTCAAATCAGTGTAACTTTTTTTACATATTAAGGGAAGTGTATTTAACAATTTAATGCTGGTTTGGAAATTTTTTTAGATGTTCCGGTTTAGGTATTGCCACTTTAACCTGGTTTAGGTATAATTTAACCTGGGATGAGCATGTGAAACATGTGGTAAAAAAATCTACAGCTGGTATTTATGCTTTGTGACAAATGTCCCGTGTCTCAAGCATTGAAACTCTTAAAACTATTTATTTTGCTTTAATAAATTCACATATAGCTTATGGAATAGCTTTATATGGTGGTACCACAAAAAAAACCTAGACAAAATTCTACGTCAACAGGAAAATGCTCTTAGAATTATCTTTAGTATAAAAAACAGAGAATCAGTTAAAAAATATTTTTCTAAATTGGGTATAATGACCATCTATGATTTATACATTTTTGAAACTATTCTACATGTAAAAAGTTCAGATTATCAAACTAAAAATTTCCACAGTTACAATTTACGAAACACCAGGCATGTAGAACAACACAGATTTAAGTTATTTGAGAAAAAAACCAGTTTCATTGGCAAACAATTTTTATTTAGCCTACCCAAAAATATTTTCAACGAACATAATTACAGTAGCTTTAAAAAACTACTGAAAAACTATTTGCAATCTAAATCATTATATTCAATAGAAGAGTTTTGGAATTTAAATTATTAGAAATATGTTATATGTTATGATTTATGTTTGTAATCTATTATTTAGGATACTTGAATACCTAACTTTTTTCTTCTCTTTTTCTTTCTGTGACACAATTCATGTATTTGCTGTAAAATACTTGATGAATAAAGATGATTTGTATTGTATTGTATGATGTGGCTTTATTTAGTTTCTTGTGCCACGTGGACTCTTTCCCATTTGGGAAAGCCTGCTATCCAAATCAAAATCCTTATAACTAGACCAGATGTCCTATGTTACATCACTACTGGTTTTAAGTCAATTATCTTTAAGAGTATTTCATTATGGCTAATTTCAACTTTTGGATCTAAGTAACACTTACCCTTGTAAAATCTCCAATGGGCCTTGATTATGGTTTTTTTATCCTCACAAATTCTGGACCTTTTTTTCTTATGTAGGATTCCAACTTCAGTGAGTTTACCTCTATCACCTGGTTTTAAAAACGCTTGCCAACCAAAGTCAATTATTGTTGGATCAAATGAAAAGCGAGTTTTGACATCGTAGGGGACTTTGGGTCTTAAAGCATAGTCAGGCACGCTAAAAGAAAAGTTTTGGATTAAATTAAAATTTATGATTATCTTACAATTTTTTGTGATCAATAATATTTTAACCAGTTGTGTTTTAACCAGTTATTTTCTCACGATATTTAGCACATCACTAAACAATTTTGGATTAAATTTGACATGGGTGGTTTGACAGTTAAACAGTTACCTATGCATAATGTACGGGCTTCGTGATTTGAAAAGGAACACAAGGTGGATTCTGGAATGAAGAAAGGAAAGATACTTGTGAACCCTGAAAAAGGAAATCTAGAGAAGTTTAGTAAGTGTTGAATAATGCTCTTGGGTAGGAGACATCAGTTCTCAGTTTAATAAGATCAATAAAAAAAATAGAGATATTGATAGTTCAACATCTGAGGAGAAAATGAGGCATGCTTTATTTATTTATTTATATCAACGGATACACCATTTACAAACAACTTACACAACACAGCTTTGTACATAACATAACATTAAAATACTATGTTCAGTGCCGGATTTACCACTAGGCAGACTAGGCCGTGGCCTAGGGCCCAAGCAAAAGGGGGCCGCAAAGGCATAACAATTTCTTTTTTCAGAGCAAAAAAAAATATTTTTTAAATTATCAAATTGCTGAGATTGCGGGTGACAATAATGCTGTCCCCGTTATTGCGGCCCACGGGAGATGATCACGATTTTGCCATGGTTGCGGGTGTCGATGATAATGTCCCCGTGATTGCGACCAATGGGGGATGTTTACGGTTTTGCCGTTGTCACGTGTGTCGATGATGATATCCTCGTGATTGCGGCCCACGGGAGATATTAATGATTTTGCCGCTGTGGCGGGTTTTAAGGGAGAGGAGGTAAAAATGCTTTAGTGTGAGACTCCTGAGCTTGTCAGACTACTCACTAAAAAAACCCTTCTACTATGTTGGAGACAGACCTGGGATTGTTTGTCTCATTAATTCAGGTCAGGTCAACTTGTGAACTAAGCCCTCAGGGCTCGCACCGTTTCTGGCATTCAATTTCTTTATGACCTAGACTGCATCTCGGTCAAGCTCTAGCTTCTTTGAGCGGAGAATACCCTGGACGAAATGTGACATACAGGTCCAATTGTCCTCACCCTCCATCATCATCGGAATGACCGTGTCCACCGACAACTGCCCTACATGTTGTTCAGCCTTCAGGCGGGAACCTTCCCAACGCTGGCAGCAGAAGAACGTGTGCTCCGCGTCGTCGGGAGTGCTTGGGCAGTAGATGCAATCGGGTGACACGGCTTTGCCCATCCTGAACAGGTACGACCGGAAAAACCCGTGACCTGTCAGAAACTGGGTAAGGTAATAGTCCACCTCACCATACCGTCGGTCAACCCATGGTTGGACTTGCTGAATCAGTCTCCTGATCCAGCGTCCCCGCGACTCCTGCTCCCAGCTCTCCTGCCAGAGCTGGTAGGTGCGGTTGCGCATTACTTCTCCCATAGGTTTGAAGCATATTATTTGCTTTATTTCTTTTGTAAGCTATTTTATTATTTAAAATGTAGTATAGTATTAATATTAGACTTTGTGACAAATCACCTGTCAAGAGAGTTGATGTAATGTGATGATGTTTAATAAATAAAAAAAATAAATACACCTCCTTATTGAGCGTGTCTGCCCACACTTCCGCACCATACAGGAGCACAAACTGAACTGTAGACATCAACGGCCTTCTGCGACTGGAACGAGGACCTCCGACTTTGGCCATTAACCGGCTAAGAGAAGATATCACCTTAGCGGCCTTGTCTGCCGTTCGGAATATCTGGTCCCGCCAGCTAAGCTTAGAGTGCACCATGACACCAAGATACTTGGCGGTGCGAACGGATTGGACTTCGACGTCCCCCACCCTCAACGGCACAATGGTGTCAATCCACTTTTTGGTCAGAATCACAATCTCAGTTTTGTTCAGCGCGAGTGACAGACTATGATCTGCCATCCATGCGTTTATAGTTCGCATGACTCGGTTTAATTTTAATTGGGCCAGCTCAACACTACGAGCAGCTATTAAAGCTGCAATGTCATCTGCGTACCCAACTAAAACGGTTTCTTCAGGCATTTCAGACCTAAGGAGGCTGTCGTAGGCAACGTTCCAGAGGTCCGGGACGAGTATAGAACCTTGGGCAGCACCAGAAGTGACATTCATCGTCCGTGGGCCTTCTGTAGTATCATACATGAGGAGGCGGAACCGGAGGTAATCCTCTATAATGCACATGAGGTATGCCGGGACGGAAGGTGTTCTCCAGAGCGTCCAGCATATCGCACCATCTTGCAGAATTAAATGCGTTTCGCACATCGAGTGTAACGAGCAGCACAACCCTACGAGAGTAGTGATTAAAATCCTCAGCTCTCATCACGGCTTGCTTCACCTCCTCAATAGCGTCGACCGTTGATCGCCCCTTCCTGAAGCCGTATTGGCGAGGCCTCAGGTCCCCTGCAGCAACAACGGCTGAATTCATTCGGGAACGGATTAACTTCTCTAGGACTTTCCCAGCCATATCCAACATGCAAAGGGGTCTGTAAGAGGACGGCAGTTCTGGGTCTCCTTTCCCCTTCCCTACGAGCACGAGCCTAGCTTTTTTCCAGCACAACGGAAATACCCCCTCTGCCAGGCAGGCGTTGTACGTGCTCAGAAGAATCAGGGGATTGATTGAAAAAAACCGTCTTAAGAGCCTCGCCAGGTACCCCATTAGGTCCAGGAGCCTTGTTGTTTTTTAGGGATAAAACGACAGTCTCCTGCTCCTCATGAGTGAAGAGTGGGACATCGTCCATCATCTCAAACTCACGCAGTGGGCGCAGAATATGATCCGGAAAATGGGATTTGACAACCCTCTCCATAGTGGCCCCCTCCATGACGGAAGGTGGAGTGCGGGTGGTGAGTTTTTGGGTTACTAGTTTGTAACCCAGGCCCCACGGGTCGGAATCGACATCATCCCTTAGTGTTTTCCAGCAATTGTATTTGCTCCGGTTGATGGCCCGGCGGAAAGACTTCCTCGCCACCTTATAGCTTTCCAGCTTACGGCGTCTATCCAAGGGTGCCCTGGCCCTGGTAGCGAGTCGTCTAGCTGTCAAAGCAGCTTGGCACAAATCCGCAATCTCTGCAGTCCACCAGTATACGGGTCTCCTATCGCAACGGAGTCTCTTGCGGGGCATTGACTCATCACAAGCCGAGGCAATCAGCCCCATCATCGATGTAACTGATGCCTCTGCATGAGCCATGCCAGGTGGAGCAGGCACCGCTGGCACTCCCCGCAGGATGGCCTTGGTGAATTTAGCCACGTCCAGTTTTTTGGTGTTCCACCGAACGGGCACTTCCCGAGATGCAGCAACTTGTCTTGGGAGGTGATCTCAGACATCGAAAATAATATACTGGTGGTCGCTGGCCGTATAATCCTCCAGGCTGTGATCCTTGGCAGAAGAGACTCAGATGCGAGGGTTATGTCTGGGATCGTTCCCCTCATCCCGGGTTGCCGAAATGTTGGCGTGTTGCCCTTGTTGATTACAACGAGTCCGGCCCTGGAAGCAAAGTCCAGGATGTACTTCCCCTGGGAATTAGTGAGGGTCATTCCCCACTCGACAGCCCTAGCATTGAAATCACCAGCCACGACTACATGCCCTGTGGTGTCGTGCACGCTCTCTTCCCAGCGGTCTATCTTCTCGGGGAAGTCATGGATAGCCTCGTTAGGGGTGAGGTAGACACTGTAGTAGGTGACGTCCTTGCAACGAACCCAAACGAATCCACGGCCCTTTCCATGACCCCGGACTTGCACTTGAGCTGTATTACGCACCCAGAAAGCAGCAGTACCAAGACTATCGGGGAACCAAAAGGGTTGGACCCTATTCCGGTACTGGTACTGCTCGCTGACTAAGAGCGCGTCGACATCGTGTTCGAGGGCAAGCTGACTGAGAAGCGTTTTAGCTGTCCTGGATCTCCCAAGATTACATTGGAGTATTCTTATTTTCGTGTGTGGGCTTTTGCTTGCTGCGCTGCACTGCCCAGACCCAGCTATATGTTTTGTGTTTTTGTCTGCAAGCCCATTTTCCTTACAAAGAAAGCAAGATTCGACTTGGCAGTCCCTACGAGCGTGACCTACTCCTCCGCACCGGAGGCAGTGCTTGCCTCGGTCGGGCCCCTTGCAATTTCGGGAGGAATGACTGAAACCGAGGCACTAAAACACCTGGTTACTTCCACCCTCCGTCTGAGCCTGCAGTTGACCCAACCGACCCTCAAATGCTGGAATGCCAACATCTTACTAGCGTGTGCGTCTGCCATTTCAGCCACCGCCATCCGCTGCTGGTTTCTATTTGGTTTTGTGAGCCACACCCTAACACAGCCGATCTTCCGGCAAGCTCGGGGACTGCTTCCTTTAGGACCTCAACTACCTCACTCTCTGTCGACACACCATCCATGTCTCGAACCTCAACTGACGTTTTAGGCTCGAGTGCACGGACGGTGCCCTGGCCTTCTACAGCTGCCTTTAGTTCAGTAGCAAAAGCGGATTTTTCTTTCGACTTACCCAGTTCAAGGAGGACGTCCTCGCCCCGGGTTTGCCTAATCGAACGCACAACCGTATCGGTCTGCTACGGCTTAGTTTTAGCTTTTATTTTACCCACGACTTCAGCGAATGATCTCCCCCCTGAGGAGTTAACCAAGATTGCCTCCGTCCTGGGCGCTGTGGCGGGTGACGCTGATGATACTGCCGTGATTTCAGCTCAAGGGAGGTGTTCATAATTTTAACGCTGTGGCGGGTGATGCTGATGATGTAGACCTGAATGCGGCCCAAGGGAGATATTCACGATTTTGCCACTGTGGCGGGTGACGCTGATGATGTAGTATTCGATAATTCA